AATCATCTATGAATGTAACAAAGTATTTGTTACCTCCCATCGAATCCACCTGAATTGGTCCACATACATCAGAGTATATGACTTCGAGATTAGCCTTCGATCTGCTTCCTGCATCCTTGCTGAAGCTGTTCTTGTGTTGCTTCGCCTGCACACATTCTTCACATACTTCGTTTGGAATGTCAATTTTAGGCAATCCTGAAACCATATTTCTTCTCTTCAAATCTCTGATATCTCTGAAGTTGAGATGACCTAGTCTATAATGCCATATCCATTCATCTCTGCTAGCTGCAGTCGAAAGGCACTTGTGCTCCATCACATTTAGTTCAATCTTGAAGGTTCGATTCTGAGACATAGGAGCCTTCAAGATTAATCTCCCATTTGCATCAACGACTCTCATCAGCTTATCTTCGATTGACACTTTATAATTTTTTTCGACCAACTGCCCTATACTGAGCAAATTGCTCTTCATGCCTGGTATGTACAATACATTCGAAATTACTGACTTCTTGCCATCTTTCCTTATGATCATAACATCACCAATACCTTCAGCTGCTAGGGTGTTGTCATTTGCAAATTTTACCAAATTTTTCGTTGAGGGTTTTATGTTGACGAACCAGTCTTTCCTTCCAGACATATGTGATGAACATCCTGAATCCAAGTACCATTGGTCCTTGAATCTATCTTCATCTCTTGTTGTGACCATCAGCATCATCTCTTCTTCTTCTTCATGTTTTGCCAGCTTTGCATCACTTTCTTGATTCTTTCGTTTTTCTGGACAATCACTCGAATAGTGACCATACTTCTGACAATTATAACATTGAATGTGACTCTTATCAGGTTTTCGACCACCACCTCTTCCTCTGTTTGCAGCACCACCTCTTTGGTTGCCTTGGTGTGGTCTTCTTTGATTCGACACGTCTCCTTCGATTTGGTTTCCTCTGCCATTCGATTTGTTGTAGTCACCTCTACTTCTGTCGAAATACTTTCCTTTGCCTTTGGTCTCTTTTGCTGAATGTGCCTGCAAGGCCACATCACTCTTCGATTTTCCTGCAGCTCTTTCGTTCATTCTTTGTTCATGAGATTCGAGCGTCCCTTGAAGCTCTTCCTTTGTCAATTTCAACAAGTCTTTCCCTTCTTCTATCGCCACCACTATGTGGTCGAACTTAGGGGCTAAGGATCTCAGGATCTTCGAAACAACAGCTCTTGTTGTTAATGCTTCTCCACATGTCTTGATTTGATTCACTAGTTTTGTAACTCTAGTGAAGAAATCAGATATGTTTTCACTGTCTTCCATCTGAAGCAGTTCATAGGTCCTTTTGTGAGTTTGTAACCTCACTTCTTTCACCTTCTCAGCGCCTCCAAAAGATTTCTCCAGGATCTCCCAAGCTTCTTTTGCAGATTCTGAATCACCAATCTTCTCGAAATTGTCTGGACTGACACATTGATGAATTATAAACAATGCTTTATAACTCTGTTTCTCAGATTCTGTGTATTTCTTCTTTTCTTCTTCTGAAGCGTTTTCGCCAAGCGCTTCGACTCCATCTTTTACAAGGTCCCAAAGGCCTTGACACCTTAATAGGACTTTCATCTGCTTGCACCAATTCTCATAGTTGTCAACTTTCAGAATTGGCAGCGTTGCTGGATAGTTTGCATTCCCATAACTTGTCATCGTGAATTCTTCAATCGTTCTTGATTGATACTTCCCTTGAATCGTAACACAAGCTCTTGATACCAGATGTTGGAAATCCACCAATACTTTATGATGAATTTCGACCACCACTGATGATTAGTTATGACAAACAAATAAAAGAACAATGGAGATATTTCTGCAGAATTTCTATTCTGCCCACAAACTGTGGAATCTTTATTAATTCACTTTGCAACTGCAAAATACTGTGAATGAGTTCAATGACTTGAATTCAAAAATAAGGGTTACTCCCTCTTATTTATAGATTTAGGTTAGCTTGCTCCCTAAGCTAAACCCAAGCCCAAAATATCTCTTTACTAAATCAAATCTAATCTAGATTTAAATTCAAATCTATTTAAATCTAAACAAATCAAATCTTCTTTTGACACCTATGAATTACAATTTAACAATTGGGTGTTACAAAAACAAAGAAAAGAAGACAAGATAAATAATTTCTGCAGAGTTTCTCTCTGTTCATAAACTGTGAAAACTTTCTTATTCACTTTGCAACTGCAAAATACTGTGAATGACTTGTTTGACTTGCTTACAAAAATAGGGGTTATTCCCTCTATTTATAACTGAGCTTACACCCTAAACCCAAAGCCCAAAATATTTTTTTGTTACTAAATCAAATCTAATTTATTCTAGACTTAAATCAAATCTATTTAAATCTAAAACAAATCAAATCTTTTCGACACATAGTTTCGAAACATTGAATTACAATTTAACAATAGCTAGGGTGAGGATAGGATTATGCCACATGCGGTCACTACTTTCTAATTTTTATAATTTTTTTAACAATTTTGACACTTAAATTTAAGTGTTAAAAAAGTATAAAATATAATATTTATATATAAAAATGTATTATAAAATTTCATACAAATATATAAAATGAAAAAGTAAAAAAAGAAGATAGATGTTAATATATAATTGATATACAATATCAGATACTATTGTTAAATATTGAATGTTCATATAATAGATTTAAAAATCTATTTTATTTTAATATTTTTAAAAACAAATTTTCTGAGAATATTTTTTAAAATAGTTGGAGTTATTTATATTTATATTTACAAATTAAAATAATAATTTTGACACTCAGCAATGTACATATTCATCGATAGAGATTTTAGCATAATAAGATTATATAATTTTTTTTATAAAAATATAATATCTTATAGATAATTTTTTATAAAGAGTTATTTATAGCAACTTTAAATGAGTGTTTGAAATTTTACTATCTAAATAAAAATAAGGAGAAATATTTAAAATAAATTTTTATTGTTGAAAAAGAATTATAAATCTGAACAGTATAAAATATCTACTTATCTATTATTTTAAGATTTTTAATAAATATGTGATATCTCACGTAAAAGATATGTGATAAAAAAAAATTAAAAATTAAAATATTTTTCGTTTGACCTTGATTCTTGCGCCAACATTTATACTAAATTATTTTAATTATTTTTTTTAATTTAAAACAACATCAACAATTATTTAATTAAACTTTTAGATTTAAAATTAATTGTGATGGTGTGTCTATTTCTCTTCTCGTAATTCTGTTTGTGTAAGAATTGTGAAAAATAATGAGGATGGTTTTTTTTTGGGTGTTTTTGCTGTTCGGTTGGATAATTATAACTCTCTTATTGTCGAATTTTATAGTGTAATTTTTATTTTAGAATTCGTCCATGAGAAAAATTGAAAAAATCTTTGGTTGGAAATTGATTCGATGGCGGTACTAAAGACTTTTAAATCTTCTTTTGTAATGTCTTGGTAAATTAAAAATATACAGATAAATTATATAAATATAGTCTTTAATTAAATTTTTATGGTCTTTCATATTTATAGAGAAGACAATAGTTATCCAAGACATGCTTGCTAACATAAGATTTAACGATTTATCTTATTTTTGATTCAATTTCTACTTATTTAAAAATAAATTTTATAAAAAATATACTAAATTTACCTTTATTTAAGTTCACTTCTTCGTGATAGAATTTTGATGCTTGTTCCTCTATGTTTTTGTAGCAATTTTCGTTTCTTTAATCTATCTTTATTTATGAAAAAATTAGTTAATAATTGTAGAAGAGAAAAATTAAGAAAACGTGTATAGTCTATTTTCTTTTAACTTTTAGGTTGAATGGTACTAGCAACATAGCATGCAACTACTACTTTTGTTGTGTGTGATATGTGATGTTTGAAACTTTGAACTGGGCGGGAGGGTGGCCCCACCAGCTGTCCATTTTGGAAACAAAACACAGGCTTTGGCTTTATGCCTTATTCTGATAGAAAATCATGACTTTTTTTTGGCTGGAAAATAAAATATTATCTTAATAACTTAAATATTTTTTAAACAATATATATTTTTTAGGATAGTGGTTCATCTACAATATTTTATCTAAAAGGGTATGAAAATTAGAAATATAGTAATCTTAAAAATCTTAATAAGGAAAATAAAGATTTAATTTTTTTAATGGCAAATTTAAAGATTTAATTAATATTTGTTATCAAAATTTTCTATTGTGTGAAACCTGTACATAATTTGCGTTCTGACTTTTGAGAGAACCATATGATCGATCACCATGACTAGATTAAACATGATATTTCACATGCAACAACCAAAAATTAAAAAAGAATATTATCAAAGTAAATTGGAGCTCTAATAATAATAATCTTCAAATCGTATAAATTAAATCAAATTTAATATAATCACAATAGTTTAAAATTTCCAACATACAAAATAAATTCAATAGCAAATTACACAAAAAAATATCATTCTTTTTAAACGGATCAATTGGATCAATTTGCTCCAGTGTACTTTTTCAACGAATTAAACAAAACGGATATGAAATTGTTTATTGCATTACTGGTACTCAAGCGGGTGTGAAAAACTAATAATGCTTCTAAAATCGGATAATGATTCAATTTAGAAAGTATAAGGCACTTCTAATGAGTTATTTGTATGGTTTTGGAGCTTTATCACATGATTCTTACATGAAAATGAGAGTATAGTTCAAAACTAATGAAATCTTACGCTTCTTTCTAACCATACAAATAACAACAACAAAGTCTTATATCACTAACTAACCATACAAATAGTTAAAAATCAAAATCTATAAATCTATCTGCCAAATTATGGACAGATAAAAGTAATCATATGGGATAGTAGAGGTCTCAAACAAATGAAAATCAGAACTTTTACACTCTTTCACATTAACCCTTAGGCATGAGTCAGATCTCAAGTGTATTTGGAGAAAGTGGTGTAGATATTCTAACATTTTCTTGAACAAAATATTGATCGAGATAAACTCCATCAAGAATTGATAAATTGCAGCTCTTTTTCATTGACAGCGCTGAAAAAATGCCAACTTGAATCATGGAATGCATTATAATAATCATCAGGAATTTTTTCAATTTTGATTTCGTTTGTAAAACTTCGAGCAGCCAAGATATGTTTTACCGAGTTCAGGACGGGTGAGTTCTTACATAATGACACATGCTGCTCGTATGCTTCAAAGCTGTTCCCGAATAGTACAATGTTATTTAAGAAATCCGGTTTCCAATTTGCCTGCAACAGGTTGTTATATAACTCTGCTTCGCAGTGAGGCATGAAGAACATTGTTGGCTTCACAGCCTCGCGCTTCCCATTCTCGTTTATTGACATGACGGAACAACCAAGAGCTTCCAAAACCCGAGACTCAGTTACAGAGAGAACAGGATCAAATACCTCGACGTTTCCAATCAAATTTAAATCTCTTTTCATCAACATTGCTATGCTGAGTTGTAAACATGGCGGCTCATACAATTCAATGCTGCCGATACCGTAAATGACCATTTGCATACTTGTCTCTGAGCCCAAAACTATATGGAAATAATCTAAAATTGATGTTTCAATCTGATCTCTGAAAGTTTGATAGAACTGAGAGTTCTCAATCTTACTAATATATCTTTCCATTTTCTGCATTAATGCTGTTTCTCTGATTGGATCTTTCTGAGAATCTGTTGGAGCCCATGGTTCTTGTTTTTCTTCGGAAATTTTTTCAACTTCAGTATCTTTTCTCCTTTGTCTTCCACGACGGGGTAAAATAACCGTCCAGTCTCCATCTGTTGTGCAATTGCTATTTGTGAGAGACTTTGCTGAAGCTGCCATTCAGATATAAAAAAAAATTCTTTACTTATTTTCCTCCTGAATCACTGCTTCAACATCTGAATGCAACACAGCAAAATTCTGGAAAACAACAGGGTGTTAGCTAGTGCTGTGTTTTCCAAGTTTGGTCACAAGAAAAAACAGTTAATTGAATCCATAGTAAATAGGGTTGTCAATCGCAGATTCTAGAAAGTAACTGTTTGTTCTAATTTTACTATGTTGCAGCGATATTGTGCCATATAGTAACTATTTAACAACACTAAATAGCATATAGTGAAACACTAGAAATTTGTTCAAATTCTGTCGTACTACAGTACAGCCTCTACTTGACAACACTGAACTAGTCCCGTTACACTACTTGCCATTCAAGTTAAAGATCAAATTTGTGAGTGCATCTTTTCTAAAATCATCAAATACTATCAAGTGAAACGAGTCACAAAGCAAACCAATATACATCTATGATGCATAGGTATGGGTAGTACCGGTACAGGATACGGCATTTTTGAAATAATCAAGGTCCAGGTACATTAATAAAAAATAAGAGTTTTCTATAAAATGTATGAGTAAAGAACTGAATTGTTAGGTTCATAACAAAATATCACTATAGAAGTTTTAAAAGATAAAAAATAATGTTAAGATACAATAACAAAGAAATTAAAATACATAAGTACACTATTGATATTTGAAAGAACCACAAATTTCACTCAAAATTGAATAATGAGGAAAAATGAAGTACCACGAGTACGGTACGTGTACCCGGTGCGGGTGCGTACCCGGTACCGGTACTTCACCATTTTAGAAGTGCCTATGCTTCAGAGATATACATACTCATCCAGTCAGGTTCCATATTCCAATCTAACCAGATATATTATAGATTCCATAGTGATATATAAGTAGCTTAGCTTAGCAAGAAATCTCAAATAATGCAATCAACAATATAAGGGAGTGCAAAAATGAATAGAAATCACAAATAACAACTTCAGCTAGTAAATATGCCCCTACAAGGCTATGAAGCACGGACACTAAAAACATGATACCGACACTGACACGTCTACACTGATAATAATTTAAGAAAATGAATAAATTAAACGTAATCACGAGTGTCGGTGACAGAAACACACACACCCAGTCGGTGCTACAGAGCTAGAAGGTCCTGCTTCCTCTTCCCTAATTCCATCTTTTAACAAAATATTTAACAAAAGGCATTCTCAGTGCCTCCTTTTATTCATCTAGTAAGAGAAACTACCTACCACTCCAAACCAATACCCCTAACCCTAACCCTAACCTTCCTTTCTCCTAGCCACCTATTGCTGCTATTACCAGCAGAACATGACAGTGTCATCCTCCCCCTACTTCTTCGAAAGCATAACAACCAAGGAAAGCAAAAAGTGGTCACGCGAGACAAACGACGACCTAGAAATTTTGGGGGATTTGATGCACAAAAAATCCAAGATTGGACAGAATCGTGCAATTTCACAATCCAAAAGCAATTTTTCTTTAATCTTGCTAGGATTTCGCTCAAAGCACGATATTGTTCACAATTCAGATCAGAGGGGAATGTAAGATCGATAAACTCGGATTCAGATCAGTTTAGTGTGTTGTTCTCTTGTTCATTGCTCTTAATCCCTTTCTAACCGTATCTATTGTATTGTTACGTATAAAATCTTGAACTCACCTACATTGAATAAGGAGTTATAACCGTGAAATTGGAAAATCAAGAATGAATTCAACTTCGTGCTTAGTACAAGATGCGCGTGTATCTTATCATGTACCTATATTGTCAATCGCATATTTAGCGGGCAATTGCAAAATCAACGAGTTGCGGGAGCGGCTACGGCAGCCGCAAACCTCATACTCGCGCGCTACAGTAAGGTGGAAGGGAAAATTCGGAAGAAGAAGAAAAAAAGGCAAACCTGAACGGACTTCTTCGCTGTTACAGACTGCTGATGAGCAATACCGGCTATATTTTCCGGCAAGCTTTTGGTTTTCTGGGGAAAGTTGAGTTTTACGCCACTAGTGTCAACTTCTTTAAAATATACTCCTTCTCTTAATAAATTTCATACACAATTTTCAAAATACAATTTCTTTATTTAATTGTTGACGTGTGTCATAAGTCCCTTGTTAGCATTATTCATATTAATAAATGATGAGTGCAAAGTGACAATGAATTATGGGCCTTTTAAAGAAAGACTATTTGTGTTTTTAAATCTAGCACCCCTCATTTTTTATTTGAATTTTTACTTGTTTTTTTGGAAAACCAGTAACACGCAAATTGGTTGGATATTTTGTAAATTATCAATGACTTATTAAATATTTAAAAAATCCGATTGGAATTTTAGCCCCCTCTAAAAATTTGATAGTTTAAATTTAAAATATTATTCTTATGCGTGTCTGAGTTGGTTGGATCTTTTACAAATTTTATCTTATTCTTCATCAATGATGTTGTATGTGTTACTTGCAAGTTTTTTGTTGTTATCTATGAGAAATAATTCATTCATTCTTTCTTTGGTATAATGTGGGAAAATTTTAAACGACTTTTGGTATTTCTGACATAAATCATTCCTTTATTATATGTTTTAATTGAGAGATATTTTCCTCTCGAATCGACGTGTTATATAGACACCGTCTATTGGGAGACATCATGATATTATTGTTGTTACTATTCATTCTAATGGAGCAAATGGGCAAAGAGAGAGGAAGACGAATTGATTATAGGTTGTGAGAGTGGAGGAAAGTACAAGAACCGGAAATCATCTAAAGACACTTTTAGTAGAAAATTTAAATGTCCATTTATGTTAAGATAAGTACCAAATAGTAGTGGTTGGAATGTAACAGTTAGATGTGGTGTTCACAATCATGAACTAGCTAAGGATTTAGTGAGTCATGATATATTAGGTCATTTGAAACCCGAAGAACAATTATTTGTGAAAAATATGACAAAATAACAAAAGTCATCGAGGTACATAATGACCTCTTTAAAAGATAGAGACCTTGATAACCTATTGAGTGTTATGCAAATCTATAAGGCGAGATCTACATACCAGGCAAGTAAGAGAGGTTCGTTGACAGAAATGCAACATCTGCTGAAACTAATTCATGATGAGAAATAAATATACTCGACTAGAAATAGAGAGGAATCAAATGTTATTGATGATATATTTTATACTCATCCTGATTCAGTGAGGTTGGTAAACATGTTTTATTTGATGTTGATTTTTTATTGTATGTACAAAATAAATAGTTAATGGTTTCCTAAAATATGTAAATTTTCCTTTATCTTTACTAATGTTATTGCTATGTGAAACTGATGAACATATTGTGTTAATTATTGACTGTATGTACAAAATAGACATGTACTGACTCCCACTACTTGAGATTGTTGGTGTTACATCAACGAAGTTGATATTTTTTGTTGGATTTGCATATTTGAAACATGAAAGGGAGACAAAATTCACATGGGCAGTAGAGATGCTTAAGGAGTTGTTCACATCCGAGAAGTTGTTTCCCAAGGTCATTGGGACATATCAGGTGTTTGCCCTGATGAATGTCATGAAAGTTGTGCTCTCATCCTCAATTCATCTGTTGTGTGTATTTTATATTTCAAAAAAATGTTAGTATGATGTGCAAGGAGTATGTCAAATCTAATAGGCAAGAGCATGTTATGGATCTATGAAAAAAAAGGCATGTATTCAGATAGTGGGTGTGAGTTTGAGCAATAATTGAAACATTATCAAGTAGTATATGGTGATATCCATTTATTTTTGAGTATGTGCACAAAACATGGTTGACACTATATAAATAAAAGTTTGTTGTTAGGTGCACTAATCGAGTTACTCATTTAAGGATCACGATAACAAACAGATACATATTTATGAGTTTTATTTTCTTATAGAAATATTCATTAATTTATTTGTTACATCTCTCTATATTATTGTTTTATGGGGTTGAGTCAGCTCATTGGAAACTCAAATACATGTTAGCTATGTTGGATTAAATTATCCAGCGTCAACCTTAGGGATTCGAAGGGCTTAACATCCCCCATGGACGCCTACACAGGTGTGTTAGGCGGGCCAGGTAGGCCCCTTGTTAGATTCTCTATAAGGAAATAGAGTAGCACCTTGGCTACAAGCAATTGCTTTTAGCTCAGTGGTAAGCGCTTGATCCTACAAGTGGTATCAGAGTAAGGTCATGGGTTCGAATCCCCCCGGTTGACACTGGGGGGGGGGGAGATTGTTAGATTAAATTATCCAGCGTCAACCTTAGGGATTCAAAGGGCTTAACATCCCCCCATGGGCGCCTACACGGGTGTGTTAGGTGGGCCATGTAGGCCCCTTGTTAGATTCTTGTGATCGGTGGATCTGGAACTGACTGTTTAACGCTGGTTCGCGAAATGTCGCGGAAGCAAGAGTCGCCACCGTCTTTTATTTTCTCCAACATGGAAAGGACAAAAGCACAGAAAAATTCCTTATTGAGATTAGTTCTCGGTTCGGGAGGTAGATTTATAGAAAGGGAAGGTGTTAGCACCCTTTCTATCCATGGTTATCCATGGGCTCTTAGATACTTGCTCATTTGTGTTTTCAAAATGTTTGTTTGCTTTTCAGTCGTGAGTGAGTTTGAAAAAGTTTCGTTTAAAATTTCAGATCGACTCTTGTATCAGTCCTCAAGAGTGTTTGAAAAGTTGTTTTTGAAAGCTTTTTGCAAAGTGTCGGTGTGAAAAGAAGTTTTTTATTTGTTTTAAATTAGAGCAAGTATCTACGAGTCATCTACCTACCCTAAGGAATTATGCTGTGTAAATGTCCTTAAGGTAGTGTCATCCCACCATTGAGAGGTAGGTAGCACCACCGTTGGAGGTGTTCGGGTCAATTCGAAGGTTCGGGACATGGTGATCACCGGAGCAATAGGAAGACACCTTAGAAGCTACCCTCATGCCAGGTTCCCGGATTATGAGGACTTACTAAGACATCCTCTACTCGACGATCACCTTTCGAGGCAAGGCAACAGTGAGGCGTACCCTAGGGGTGGTGTGTGAATTGTGTGTCAGATTCATTTATTTTATCTTGTCATGTTATGAGTGAGCTATGCGTTTGTTTTTATTTAAGGCCATTCATTCTTGCATGCATTTAATTAACAGTTAAAAGATGCGGGAATTTAAAGTGCGGAAAAGGTAAAGGTCCTACGCTATTACAAAGGCGCGGGTCTACATCGCCAAATTAATACAAAACCCGATTTAAAATAAAATGCAGAAAATAAATGCCTAATTAACTATTACAGGGCTTTGGGGTAAATACATTACATTCACAAAAAAGAAATAAAATGAAATGCGCGAAAAGAAAATATAATCGAACGTGAGGGCGTTGGACCCTTTAAAGGAATTAAAATGAAATTATTAAATTGATTAAATTAAATAAAAAGAAGGAACTTATTTTTTCATGTTTTTGGGATTTATGGCACTAAAGAAAAATTAAGTTGGAATTAAAAGTCAAATAATTCTAATTCTAATTATTTTTTAATTTATTATAAAATTTATTTACAAAATTAATGGTTAATGACACTTATAATAAAAATAATTAATTAATTAAAAAAAGGGTAAAAAGTGCTAAAGGTCTATTTTTATTATTTTTGGTTATTGAGAAAAAGAATTAAATTAACAACCTAAAATTACAACTAAATTACTTATTGAATTTATTCACAAAAAAAAGGTCATTGATGAATTAAATTAAAATGAAACATATTTTTGTTCTTTTATGATTTTTTTGGTGTTTTTTATATATCATGAAAATATTAAATTAATTTAAAAAAAAGCAATAATTAAAAGAATGTAAAAATAATTAAAAAAACAAAGAATGTAAAGAAATTTGCAAAACCTAAGGGGGTCTGCCCCTAATTTGGAGGGTGAGGTCCAGCAATCTGAGCCCAATAAGCCTTAGGCCTGGCTGACTTCTCCACTCACGTACCCAAGCGTTGACTCATGTGTACCATGCTCCTCAGATCCGGGCCCTTGAATTGATGAGATTGAACGCGTGGCAGGTTTGATTTGGGAGATGCATGGTGTGCTTTAGTATTGAAGCTGCATGGGAACGTTAATTGAAAAATAGTATTGAAAGGGGTGAGGACCTGGGGCTCGAACCCAGGTCATGAACGTTGCCAACGCCTATGCTTACCACTGAACCATCCAACGCGTCTTGTATATAATATGAGAAACAAATAATATAAAATAAAATGGTCGTTAGTGTCATAAAATAAAAAAAAGTGCGCTGGATTCAAACCAGCCACTCATACTGTGACACGCAGTCGTCTTCCCCAATGTACCTGTAATGAAAATGAAATAGCGGGGGTTTTAAACCCCCCCAAAATGCAAGCTTTTTGAGAATAGCGAATAGGCCATGGTGGGAAAGAAATAGGGCGCGATGGTTCAAATCCACTCAGTGGAAGGCCCTGATTTTAATGGTAGCAATCTTAGGTTCCAATTGTTCCTGGTATGCAAAGCCCTAAAATCAAAACTCTGAAACCCTAGGTAATGGCCATGGTGAAATCGTGCACAGGCTTGGAAAACCCAATTAAATCATGCTAACAGCTTCAGAACAGTCATATTAGTCCAAATCCATGATCAAAAATGATAAATATGGCATGAATATTAAAATGCGAATATCAAAAATTTCAAGGAAAGTTGGACTTGGTTATACCTGTTCTTTGCGTTTGAAGGTCTGAATTTGATGGCTATCGTTTCCTTAGGGTGTCAGCAACTTGTTTGGATGAGAATGAGAGTCTGAAACGGGCTCTAGAGGTGTTTTCAGTTTTGAAAAATCTTGGCCAAAATGCAAGTTTGCTCTGAGTGTTGGGGCGCAGCTTAGGTCTCAATGTTGCCTCTGATCACTTGCCTAGGTCTTATGCAACATGTATGAAGAGGAATTATGGCCTCATAATGCATAGCATTCAATTTCAAGATTCTCCATAAACCTCCATAACCAAACTTCCATTTTTGAACCATTTTTGAATTCTTGCTCTATTTGCCCCCTTGCACGAATTTGGCATATGCTTAATGGTAAGTCAAGGTCCATCAAAGTCAGATATCCTCTTTAATTAGGCTTTTTGATTTTCCTTTGATTTTAAAAGATTTAAAATTAATTAAATCTAATAAAATCAATAAAAAATGAAAAAAATTAATTAAAAATTTTGAAATAAAAAGTGGGACACGTGGGAAGCATGGCCAAGTTAATTCAAGTGGAAAAATTGGGCCCCTTTTGTCAAAAATGAAATTTCAAGGATAAATGATTTTGGCCATTTCACAAAAATTTCCCAACTTCTCCAATGCATATCTTGCTCAATTTTTAAGCTTTGGTCATGTTCTTGGACATTTTAGAAAGGTCTTGAAGTCCTCTAACCAATGTCTTTGGTCCCATGTCATTTTGATTTACCAATCTCAAGTTATGGTCTTTGACTTAAAGTCCCTTTTTGTTGACTTTTGAAAATGACCTATAATGTTGAAATTGATAACTTT